CCTCGTTTCCCGTTTGTGCGGAATGGACATACCAGCCGCCCCGAGCAGGGACTGAGATGCTGGGAGTGAGGTCTGTAGCGCATCTGCCTGGCGCTGGCACGTAGCTGGCGTCGCATAATTGGGAGTTATCCTTACTAAGGGGCGCTGCTCCGATTGAGGGGACAAGAAAGGTAAATCAAAGCGTCTGTTCTGCAGGGGCTCCCAGGAGAGTGGGAGAGACAGAATCGCACACATGAGTAACTTTTAATCCAAGGCAGGCTGGGAGAAGTGCTCTAACCAGAAGCCCAAACAATGCGGGAAGAATGGGGGAGGGGGCTGTGACCAGTCTGGCCCAGGAGCTTTGAGTTGGGGTGGGGGCCAGGCAGGGTGGGGCTGGCAGTGATGGGGGGAGGGGCATGGGGAAGGTGGGAATGGGGGTTTCTGCAGCTTTGACCCCTCCTCAGCTTGTGTGAAAAGCACAGAGCCCCCCACCCCCATGATGCTCCCCCACCCAGCACTCTGCTCATTTCTCCCAGGGTCCCTCTGTGCTCCCCTTGCCCTCCCCACCCTGTTGGCTGAGCCTCCTGGGAGCTTCCTGTCCCGTGGGCCCCTGGGGGAGGGGAACGCCAGGAGTCTGAGACCCCAGCCTCACTGTGCATGTCTAAAGGAGAGAAGTGCACCGAACGTAGCGGTGCCTGGTCCCGTGGCCAGGCTGGCTCCCATGCCCCTGCTCTCCACCTCTCTTCCTCCATTTTCAGGACCTGGGCCTTCCTGCTGCTCTGCCTTGGCCTGTGACATTCAGGGTCTTCTTGTCACCCGGTCCTGCCTGCTGCCATTCCCCCTGGATCACTGCCTTGGGCCTGCCTTGTCCTCTCCCGGCCTCCTTCTCACCAAGATCTGCCTTCACTGGTGCTTCTCCTCCAGTGTCAGGACTGTCCCTGGCTCTCCCCAGCCTCTGTGTGGGTGTCTGGCTTTGCCCCCCACCCCACCAGCCTCCCATGGGTCTGTGTGGCTCGTTGCCTGTGGCCACGTGTCCTTCCCCACCTGTCTTCGTGATGGCTGCTAAGGCTTCCCCACGCCTGTGAAGACGGGGTGGCTGCAGATCACAGCCCGTAGGAACTCATTCCAGAGCCCACCTGCAGCTTCGTGTGGTCCCCGGGCCAGGGCTGCCAGTCAGGGCGAGCAGGGCGGGCGAGGCGGGACTGTGGTCGTGGGCTGCCTGCACTCAGGCCCACCCGAGTTCCCTCCTGCTGCCTTGAGCCATGCTTGTGTGTTTCTGTTTGCTGCTGGCTTTATTTCCTGCGAGAGCGGGGTGCAGGCCCTGGGGGTGACTGCCGTCCAGCCCCCACCTGCAGTGTGGGCTCCGCTCAGGCACAGATGGTGGAGGCCCGAGGCCCCAGGGCCTCGGGGGCATGTGTGTGTGTGTTTGTGTGTGTGTGTGTGTGTGTGTCCTTGCTAGGCCACCAGGATGGGCTCTTGGTGCCTCTGTGACATGCGGGGACATCCCTCCCTACCTCCTCCTTTGTCGTCACGCCACCAGGACACGTCTGCCCTTGCTGTGGTGCCCTGTCCAGTGTCTCCCCCTCACTGCTTACTTCCTAGGCTTTTCCTCAGCAATCCCGTCATTGCATTAGAACCTTGGATCCTGCCTCCCCCACCCATCCCAGCTCTGCTCCACACTCCCTCCTCCAGGGAGCCTCTCAGGACTGTCTGTGCACCCTGCCCCCAGCACTGTGCCTGTCTCCCTGCATAGAGAGCCCAGCCTGTCCCTCTACGAACCCAGCCTGTGCCTCTGCTGGAGCCTGGGAGCCTGGCTGGCCCTCTGCCTCCTGTCCCTCACTGGGGGGCAGTGGGGGTGTGGGTCACACAGCAGGGCCGCTCACTGCTTCAGAACACCCGTGGGCCTCCAGCCGGGCCGTGCTGGGTGAAGAGCCAGAGCTCTGAGGGACCCAACCTGGACTTGGAGTCCCCTGGGCTCATGGCAGGGATGGGCAGGGCCGTGGGGAACGTGTGATCGTAGAGGTAAGAAGTGAGTAAAAGGGGCTCTCAGGGCACGTGGGAAGTCAAGGGAAACTTCCCAGAGGAAGTAACTCTTTGAATCGCAAGGGAATGGGGGCAGCAGATCCCCCTCCCCGATCCTGGAATGGACTGTGCAAGGCCTTGGAAGGGTGACGGGAGCCTGGGGTGTGCAGAGGAGAGGGCAGCGTGGGGCCTTCCCCTCCCCAGAGCCAACCTGCAGAGTGGGGCCTGTCTCAGCACCGTCTTGACTGTGGGGGCTGTTTGGGGACAAACTCGCTTGTGAGTTTTGCAGGGTCAGGATCCAGGGGCTTTGCCACTGAGGACAGTCCCCGAGACCTCCTCTCTGGATACTTCAGAGTCTTTGCTTCCACCCCTGTCTCCCGACTAAACTGCCTTCTCTCTCATGTCCTTGCTGGGGCTTCTGGGGGCGCCTGACTGTGTAGCCGCCCGGGATAGATACGGGGCATGGCTACCAGTGAGTGGGCACAGGCAAGGGTTTGTCCCAGGCCTGTCCTACCCCTCCTCGCATTAACCTTCAGGGAGCCCTGGAGGTAGGGCTCAGAGAGGGACTTGGCCAAGGTCATGGTCAGGAAGAGGCAGAGGCATTATGCAAACTGAAGTCTGTCTCCTACACCTGAGCTCCTAAAAGTCCCCCTGCAGTCCGTGTCCACACTCCTGGTGGTGCAGTTGAGCAAGGCCCGGGTTGTTGGGGGGTGGGGAGTGACGCGCCCCAGCCATAGCGCTCCCCCCTCGGGCTGCTCCCTGTCCCTGGTCTCTGACTCTGACCACAAGGGCTCCCCCTGCATCCTGCTCGCTTGTGACCTGTGGACAAAGGGCAGCTCCTCAGTGTTTGCTGGCGACGTCGTCGGGAGACCAGGGTGTCCGGGCCCGTGCAGCAAAGCCGTGAACAGAGTCTCATCTCTGAGCCGGGGACGGCCGGCCAGCCCACTCCCAAGCCCTTGACTTGGGCTCTGGGGCCGCGGGAAGGAGAAACGTGCGGGGACCTTGCAGCATGGAGCTGCCCCAGCGAATGCGCAAGGATGTGAATAAATTTGAATAATAATGAGGGCAACGCCTGACTTAATAATGCTGCCTGCTCACCTGACCGCCCCTCCCCCAGGATCTCAGCACCTGCGCCGGAATCCCTGGAGATGTGGGCGAGCCTTATCCTTGGCCTCTTCAGGAGCCACGGAAGGATGTCCGGTGGGCTGAGTCAGCAGCCCGTGGAGTGTGGGGAGGGACCCTCTTGCTAACTTCCCGGCCCCTGCAGACCCAAGGAACTGGATTTGTGCGCTTCACCGAGAGTAAAGAGGCTGCCTCGTTGTATTAAATCGTACGCTGGCCATCATTCCCAGCCCTGCCCCTCTCTCTCGGGCCCCTTTGTGCGCAGCAGACAATGTGGATGTCAGGGGGATTCCAGGGGGATTCAGAGGAAGGAATGTGGGCCTTGGCTTTGGAGGACAGGTTCCTCTTCTGGTAGATGGAGAGGACAAACACGCTCGCCTACCCGCTGCGTTCTACCTCACGGTGAAAACATGGGCATAGGCTCTTAGAGTCTGGGACAGGAAATGCATGGATAGAGCTGTGACAGCAGGAATGGGAGATGGGACAAGCTGTTTGTCCAAGGAGCTAAGGGAGCAATCCAGGAGGGCTTCCTGGAAGAAGGGAATGTGGGGCCAATATGGAAAGATATGGAGCTGGAGGAGGAAACAGAAGGGAGGGGATAAGACCTGGGTCCTGTCGCTGGTGGCTTAGAGAGAGGTCTCAGAAGGGGGCGACCCTCAGAAGGGTGACAAGTTCCCTCCCCCTACACACCGGAGTGATGGAGGTTCAGAGAAATTGTGGAAAGGGTTGGATTTGGGGATTGTGGTCTCGGCAGAGCCGCGGGAGCTGGGGAGGGAAACATGAGAGCGGAGTCCCCTGAGCTGGGGCAAAGCTGATTTTGGTTGCAGCAGTGTGACAAATTGGGGATGAAGCTAGGAAGCCCCTCACCTCTCCCTTTGCCATCTCCTCTCTTCCCACAGCCTGCCCCAGCAGCAGACCAGCTCTGGCTCGCAGGGGGTGGGAGCCCAGGGAGGAGGAGCTGCCACAATCCAATTCCCTGCTCCATTTAGGCCCCACAATTAAAGGCAATTACTCTGCAGCTCTCTAATCAAACGCTCCGGGCCGGGCTGCCAGCCGGGCAGCCATGTGTGGCTCCACAGCCTGGCGGGGGAGAGAGGAACAAAGTCACACGCGCGCCTGGCTCCCACCGCGCGGGCGGCACAGTGCGGGTCCGTGTGTCCGCGTGTATGCACGAGTGCCCTGGAGCTCGGGGGCAAGGGGCAGACGCGCGGGACGGGGTGGGAGTGCCAAGAAGTGGGCTCAGAGGTTTGCTGTGGATGCTCCGACCCCAGGACGCTGGTGTTCACCCATGTGAGATGCCTGCCCGGAGTGTCTGCCCTTGTGTGCCCACTGGGTGCGCTGTCCCCGAAGCACACATGTGCTACCCGCGATGGCTGACAGGACACGTGCGGGCAGGGGTACTGTGCCGTAGTCACACTCTGGGATTGCAGGGATGGTGCGGGGCCAGCGGCTCTGCTCCTGGGTGCAGCACCTGGGAACAGGGCTGGGGGTGAGGTGGCAGGTGGCGGGACAGGACCAGGACCTGGAGGGCCGAAGCTCAGGTTCAACTCCGTACTCTGCCCCTCACTCCCCCTCACCTGTCCCCACCCCCAGGCCTCAGTGTCCTGTCTGTGACATGGGAGGAGGGGACTAGCCTCATCTCAAGCCCTCTGTAACACTGCCCTGCTGAGCGCCCCCTCCCTGAAACCTGTCCCTCTGGGACAGGGTGGGGGTGAGGAGAAGAAATCCAGGGCCAGCATATGGCATCTTGGCGGGAAGGGGCTGGGCTGGAGTGGGGCAGGGACAGGAGGGCAGGGATGGGGCCCAGGGAGGGTGGCGCCTTGCTGGAGCACTTCCCTCCCACACGTCCTTACTCTGTGCCGGCTTGGCTTTGCCAGGGACCCAGACCCGCTTCAGCCAGGAGCCAGCTGACCAGACGGTGGTGGCAGGACAGCGGGCCGTGCTCCCCTGTGTGCTGCTCAACTACTCTGGCATCGTGCAATGGACCAAGGACGGGCTGGCGCTGGGCATGGGCCAGGGCCTCAAAGGTGAGTGGGTGGCCCACCGGCCTGGCACTCGGACATCCTGTCTTTGAACCCCTCCCCAGCATAGGCCTCTGTGCCTGTGGCCCTTACCTCTCTGAGCTCCAGCCTCCTGTCCCCCATCTCTGTGAGGCCAGCTTTGCCCTCCCCTCCTAAGCTCTGCCTCCCCTGCTCTCCCAACCCTGAAGTTCTACGTTTCCTCCGGCTGCTGACTGGCTCAAGAAAGGCAACAAGAACCTGAGAGATTGAGGGGAAGTGAGAGAGCTTTATGTAAGAGAGCTTGAGACCTTTACGTAAGAGAGCTTGAGACAGACGCCAGGAGAGGTGCTCCAGGCAGAAAGAGGTAAGGCCAGAGGGGCAGGAGACCGCAGAGTGTCCTGTGAGAGCTGGGAGAGAGCGCAGGGACCCTCTGTCCCGCAGGTCTCCTGCCAGGCTGGCTTTGCTCCAGACTCCTTCCTGCCCCTGCCCAGGCCATGTCTGCTCTGAGGCCAAAAACCCATGGTAGCGTCAGCCTGGGCGCCGATGTCCGTGTTTGTGTGAGAAGCCTTTATCGGGTGCTGGGCAGCCTGTGCCCAAGCTGGGAGGCGATTCGGGGAGACAGAACAAACCAATGACCTCCCATATTCCAGGACAAGGAAGGGCACTTTGGGGAAGGCCTCCTGCCGCGGCGGAGGAGGATGGCCTCTGGGTTCTGGGGCTGCCTCTGCTGCTGGTGAGCTGGGCGACCTTAGGAAAGCCTGCACCTCTCTGGGTCTCAGTTTACCACCGTGTAAAACAGCCGTAGAACTCAGGGGATCGAGCGTGGCATTCGTGAGTTCTGAGCCAAATGAGAGACTGCTGGGAAGAGGCATCATCCGGAAGCCCAGGAAGGGCTGCACATTCTTATTCTTTTTGTTGTCTAGGGGTTGAGATTATTTGCTGTGGGGTCTGCATATTAGCACAGGTGAGGGAAGTCTGTCCGTGCAGAGGAGGGAGATGGGCTAGTGGATCTATCAACGATAGAAAGAAAGAGAAACTGGGAGAGAGAGATCAATGGATATGGAGTGAGAAGGGTCGATAAGCCCTGGACAGAAGGAGATAATGGGAGTGAGCCGGTGGGGAGCCCGGGAGAGAGGGACAGGGGAGGGCATGCGAGCCTGCAGGGGAGGGCAGAGCCGGAGGGGGCCAGCGGCTCCGAGGCCCACCTGCCGCAGCAGCCGTGGCTTCCCCAGGGCCTGTGTGGGTCAGGGCTCCTTCAGGGGCAGGGCCCTGCCGCGTCCATCCCCGGCATGGCCAGTGCGGGCATGGCCTTGGCCTGCCTCGGCTCCCCCGCCCCCCAGCCCCAGGGAGCCCCGTCTGTGCTGCGATGCCCTATATTTCCAGCGCCCACATGCCCTCCCCCTCTCCCTTTCTCTCAGCTTTTTTCCTGCTCCTTTCCTGTTATTACAAGGGACGCTGGTCTGGAAACAGCTCCAGAAATTCCGCTCATCTGCCCCTTCTGTGTCCCCATCGCTCCTGCTCCAGGGCCCCCAGCCTGTCTGTAGGAGGCTGTGACATGGGAATGTGACACCTGGGGCTCTGTGGATGGGGTCCCAGGCCAGGGTGGCGGGAGGAGTGCAGCCATGGGGAGAGAGGGGCCCCTGGTAGGCCGGGTCCCAGGCTGGGGCAGGGCTTGCCTCATTCGCCCTTTGTGTCCCTGCAGCCTGGCCACGGTACCGGGTCGTGGGCTCCGCGGATGCCGGGCAGTACAACCTGGAGATCACGGACGCCGAGCTGTCTGACGACGCCTCCTACGAGTGCCAGGCCACAGAGGCCGCCCTGCGCTCGAGGCGGGCCAAGCTCACCGTGCTCAGTAATGCTCTGCCCTCCTCCTGCTCTTTCTCTCCTATCCCCGTCACTCCTCCCTTCTTCCTGGCCGCTTGTCTGTCCCCACTGCCCTCCCGCATCCTTCTCTAAACTTTGTGCAAAGCCAAGTCCAGCAGAAAGGGTAAAGCGGGCTGTGGGCCCCCACTGGTGGGACCGAGGGCGCGTGAGACCTGGCATCCTCTGTGCCCAGTGGGTTGGGCTTTATCTGTTGGACATAGGGCTCCCCCAGGACAGAAGAGTTGGGGTGGAGATGCACCTGCTCCTGGCCCAGGCTTGTCGGTGAAGAGCTTCTCCCGCCCTCCCCACGGCTGCCTCCAGCCCCAGCAGCTGCCCCGGGGCTCCCTTTCGTCCTCACTCAGCCCATACTCCCCTTCACCACTCTTCCTCTCTGGCCACTGAGAGTCCCCTGGAGGCCCTTCTGGGAGCCGGGGAGCAAGACCAGAGGAATGAGCTGGAGGGTTGAGAACTGGGGTGGTGGGCTGGGTCCTGCTGGAACAGAGCAGATGTCCCTCTGTGAGAACCCCCCGGGCCATTTGCATAATGCGGGGACTGGCCCCTGCAGGAGGCAGGCTGCGACACCCCCTCTGGCTCCCTCCAGCCTGGTGCTCTCCCTCTGCCTCTGCTGGGCTTCCTCTGCCCCCTTTTGTCCTCCATGCTGTCCTGCCACTTTCTGCTGCCTTCATGTGCTCTGTTGGGCTCCCTCTTTTCCATCTCATTGCCCGAAACCAGCAACGTGGGAGAAGCCCCTGGAAGGGATGGGGGAGAGCGGAACTGAGGCCGCGAGCTTGGACACAGGAAGGTTTTACCTGGCGGGAGAGTGGGAGTGAGAAGGGGGCAGGAAGTCGTCCTTGTGTCTGGAAGGGCTGAACTGGGAGCTGGAGGTCAGGAGCCCTGGCCCATTCTGGCACTGGGACCCTGAAGGGTCACAAACCCTGGGTCTCAGTTTGCTCATCTGTAAGGCAGCATGGTAACATCAGCCTTCTCTTAGCTGCTCTGCCCAGGAAGCTGTGAACCACTAGGGCTTGGGCAGGGAGGTGTCAGGGCAACAAGGACTCTAGCCTGGGGGGAGGGGGCTCACACTTCCTCTCTCGTGAGCAAGGTGCAAGCCTGAGATCAGGGAGAGAGTTAGGTGGCCACCAGGGATGGGCATGGGGCGCCACGACAGCACCTCCCTCCCTCCTGGGTGTGTGTGAGCCCACGCCAGCCCAGGCCATCAAAGGGAACCATGAGATTCTCGGCAGTCCGTCTGTCTTCTTTTCCCTCCCTAGATGCCTCTGTTGTGGATCCTGGAGGTCCTCCTTCTCACCCAGGGGACTCCCATCCCAACAAGGAGCCCCTGGTCCTCCCTCCCCTCTCCTGCCCTAGACCTCCAGAGACAGAGCAGCAAACATGAGAAAAAGCCAGCTAAGCCCCTAGGTATGGCAGGAATGGGGCTTATAATGGCATCCAGTGGCTTGTTTTGTTCAAGAAAGGCTTCCTGGAAGGGCAATATGAATGAGGGCCCTAGACGGAAGAGTGCCGTGTTAAAGGGCTTGCAAGCCACTGAGGGAGAGCCCAGGGTGGGGACGCTGAGTGGCTCATTTGGAGGGCATGGTCTGTGTGCAGTGTGTGGAACTTCCCAGCCTATCTGGGTGCTTGGGGGGCCTGGGGCAAGGACAGCTCCCAAGAAGAAAAGAGTGAGAGGTTCACCCTTGCTCATCTCTCTCAGACCCCCTGCCACCTGCAGCCGTGTGCAGGCAAAGAAGACAGGCTACGTCTCACACGCTCCCTGTTCACCCGGTTCTGTACACCGTTGCTCACAGTACCAGTCCTAGAGACCGAGCAGAGTGGAGAGTGGCCTGCGTCCAGTGCCCGGCAGAGCCCCCCCATATGCAGCCACAGCCCTTGTCTGCCCGCCCCACTCCAGTCTGCCTTCTTCATGCAGCAGCAGCCTTTCCTTCTCCCTGCGGCAGGACTGAGCAGCGGCCTCCCACTCCCCTGCAGACACAGCGCCCACACGCAGGCCTACAGCCTCCCCCCTCCCACCCCCTGCCCTGTGGGGACGGGGGCAGGGCTCCAGGGTCCCAGGGTCAGTGGGCCTGGCCCCCACCAGCCATGCTGCTTAACTCCCTCTCCTGCCTCAGGGCACACTTCGTAACCTCTCCAAGCCTCAGGGACCTCGTCTGGCATTTGGGACCCATGGTATTTACCACAAAAGGATCAATGAAGTACGCTTTGCGGGAGTGTCAGATGCAGTCACATACGCGTGGAACTGGGCCCTTTGGTCAGCTTCCCACGAGCGGCGGAAACACTCGATCGCGTCACAGCTCACCGGCTGCATGTCTGGGGTCTCCAGTCGACTTCACAGCATCGCTGCTGGGGAAGAGGAGTCTCTGTTATTTTTAAAACTTTACAAAAGAGGAAACTGAGGCCACAGACCCACATACAGATTTGCCACAAATTATGAAAGTGTGTTTGTAAACAAGCAGCCACACGGACACGCGCCCCCTGACAGCAGAGCAGACAATTCTCCTTTGCCCCAGAAACGGAGAGAAAGATGGGTTAGCGACAGATGGATGGTCTTGCCCGAAGGAGGGGAAAGGGCCAGCGTTCCAGGGAGGGGAGAGCCGAAGGGAGGCGACGCCTTCCGTCTGACCCAGGGCGCACTGTCCCCCGCGGATGGACAGGATCTCTGCCCATCCAGGATGTCCTTCCTGGGTGATACGGCAGGTGTGACCTCGGAGGGGCCCACGCAGACCAGGAGACCCCAAGTGGGGGCTCCACATCCACGTCTCTCCTTCGTACCCCACTTGCACATGTGTACACAGGAACCGGGCAGAGCCCTAAGCAAAGAGGAGGCGGCGGGGACTCGGCTGATCTGTTGGCCCAGAGCCAGGGGTGCTGCTGGCTCTCGTCCGAGCAGCAGCGCGAACGCGGCACACGGTCACCCGGGCCTGCACACCGCAGTCCATACCCAGCGCCCCTGCTGACCTTCATGAGGGCCCCCGGGTTAGGCAGTGCCGCATCCCTGCTGAAGAGGGACTCTCCCCCGAGGGCCTCACCCAAGATCACACGACAGGTGACCAGCCGTACACAGGGGTGTAACATCAGGGCAGCTTGCTTGGAAACTCTGCTCCTCTGTGTGCATGAGTTGAGCGGAAAAGAGACGGGTGCAGGTGGTTCCTTTCTAGCAGAAACTGCAGCGCAGGACCGGCCTTTCCTACACCCCGGGGCAGCCCTGCCCGCCGTGAGGCTCTGTGGGCCTCCAGCACCTGCTCTCAAGGGTTTCCTCACCGAGCGCTCCCTGGGTCTTCCCAGAAGAAGGCAAACTAAGCCCTTTCCCACTGCTGGCCTGATGACAACGGGGGCACCAGAAGGACAGTCACCGAAATCCCAAAATCCCGCCTTTGCCGCTTTAGTCCCTTATTTACTCGTTCAGCTGCGCTCCCCGTGGACCTGCTGTCAGCCAAGTTCAGCTAAACCTCGGGCTTTCAGAGAAAGAAGCAGCCCTGCCTTCAGGGAACGTGTCCTCTCACCGTCTGAGCTTTTTGGAGCCTGTGGGGATAGGACAAGAAGAGACCTATTTCTTGGCATCAGAAATCGGGCCCACTCAATCCCTCAAGCGGTTAGCAGGAGCTGACAGTGGCCACCTCTAGGCCTGGAGTTGGTAGAAAACCAGGGAGCAGGGGACAAGAGCTTTGGTTGGGAAGGGGGCCCGAACAGCCATCCTAAGTGACACCAATATGAGGTCGGTTAGGAGCTCAGAGCCCCTGCCTGGTGCCACCGCTGGGCCGGCTGTGGCGGGAGGGCCCGTGCAGCAGGCTGCGGAAGGGACAGCAGAGGCGAGGACGCGAGAAAGTGCAGGGGTGGCTGGGGGAACCCTGTGCGGCAGGCTGAGACGCTAGTGAGCACGCTCACGGCACTTCATAGCCCTCCGAAGTGTCTGGGCAAGGAGGGGCACCGTCTTAGCTGCGCTGGAGAAAATAACCTGCCAGTGGTGATGGATGTATCTGCCAAGGGCACTGGAGGCAGGGAGTCCGTTCGGGAGGTTGCTGTGATAGACCGACTCACCGGGCTGGCCCAGGGTGAGGCACCCCTGTGAGGCCCCCGGGGTGTGAGCTGCACCCTGATCCTGGAGAGCCTAGCTCTTCCCCAGTTTGCGGATGAGTACCCCTCATCCACCAGACGGGCTGGGAAAGAACCTGCTGGGGCTGGGGGGCTGCGCTGGTGGCAACAGGTGTAGGGATTGCAAGTTTAGGCGGCAGTGGCCGTCCACGGAGCCGACGTGCAGCGGGAGGGACGCCGGCAGTGTCAGGGGCTTAGTCGCACCCTGACTGATGGCTCTAATCACCCCGCAGTCCCCCCAGAGGACACCAGGATCGATGGCGGCCCTGTGATACTGCTGCAAGCCGGTACCCCCCACAACCTCACGTGCCGAGCCTTCAACGCCAAGCCGGCCGCCACCATCATCTGGTTCCGGGATGGGACACAGCAAGAGGGCGCTGTGGCCAGCACGGTGAGACCCTGCTGCTCCCCCAGACTCCTCAGCCCCATCCCAGGTGGGCCTGACCCAGATTCGGGGGGCACAGATGTGACGGGAGAACTCGTACGTCATCTGGTAAAACCCTCATTGTGTAGCTGGGATCCAGAGGAAAGGAGGGGGCGCCTAAGTTCATGGTGCACTGGTGCATTCAGTGGCTAGCAGAGATGAAGAATAATGCTAATGCCAGATACACCGATTAAACACCTACTGTGTCCTGGGCACAGTGCATGCTAAGCTCCTAGTGGACAGTCCCTCTGGATCCTCAAGGGAGTTTCATAAGGCTGGTCTTCTCTCCAACTCACCAAAGAGGGACACCGATGGTCAGAGAGGTTGATGCCTTGCCCGAGGTCACAGGGCTGGTGCGCAGCGGAGCTGGGGTCTGTGCGTGGCTCAGGCTGCACTCCACCAGGTGATGTTCTGGGCGGCGGTGGAATGAACATCCACATCTCCAGTCTGAGGTGGTGCTTCTGCCAGCTGCGGGCAAACACACGGGTGTGCCCAGCCCTTTGCTGGGTGCCCTGGGAGACCTGCTCACCTGTGTGCCTCCGAGAGCAGCGCCAGGCAGAACCGGGTTAGCTCTGCCCTTGACAGGCTGGGTGACCTTGGACAGCTCCCTGCTCTCTGGCCTTGGTTTCCCCATTTGACTCAGGACACTCTGGCCTCAGTGGTGCTTAACCTTTTAGCACAAGACATCTGTAATTTTTCTCCTTTAGGGCTACATATTTTGAAATGTTTTGGCAACCAAACGAGCTGATTTGTTAACAGCCATTTGTCATTCACGTCCCTTCTCCAGTTTTCTAAAGACACAGATCCCGGGCGAGCAGCTGGGGGAGGGGGGAGCCTGCGCCCTGCACGGCGCCGGCCCTGCTCTGCCCAGCAGAGGCCTGCGTGTTGCTGCCGGAGAGCAGCACTGTGGTTTGCCTTGCACAAACCAGCTCACAGGTCCTGGTGACCACGTTTGGGGGCCTCAGGTCGGCCCCCACTGAGCCGGTGAGACAGCCTGTGAGCCTTCCCACTCTCCAGGGGCTTGCAGTCTGGCAGGAGAACCCCAGCACCCAGCTCACGCACAGGGCCCCTGGGGCAAAGCTGCTGTGCCCAGAGCAGGACAGACTGAGCTGGAGGGTCTTGGAGGCGGGAGGGTCGCAGAGATGGTACAGAAGAGGAGGGACTTGTGCTGCGCTGAGTCCCTGGAATGAGGCTCAGAACCACGGGGAACGGCAGGCCATGCAGAGTGCGCTCCGGCAGAAACGGCACGACACTTAGCAGCTGTGGCCTGACACGGCTCCATCAGTCGTGTGCTCGGCCCTCGTGTGTCGTGCTCACTAGCGGGAACTGTAGGTCCTGGAGGGCAGATGGGAACTCACCGCATTTTCTGTTCAGTTTTTCCGTACACTTAAAACTTCTCTAAAAAATAAAGTCTATTTATTTTAGAGTCTATTTATTTTAAGAGGCTGGGGCTGGGGCAGGGGTGGGGAGGGCTGCAGTTCCGGTTAAAGGCCTCCTGCCCCTCCAGCGCAAGCCCATCTCTGCGGGGTCATCCTGATCGCAGTGTGGGGGGCTGTAGCCTGACCCGGTCTCCCACTTGTCCCACCCCAGGAGCTGCTGAAGGATGGGAAGAGGGAGACCACCATCAGCCGGCTGCTCATTAACCCCACAGACCTGGACATTGGGCGCGTCTTCACCTGCCGCAGCGTGAACGAGGCCACCCCCACCGGCAAGGAGACTTCCATCGAGCTCGACGTGCACCGTGAGCAGGGGTCCTGCCGCGGCGCTGGGGGGAGGACTGGGCTAAGGGAGAGAGTGTGGGGCGACCTCGGAGAAGCCCCAAATGCTGGTCCTCCGGGGGCTTGGGGGAGGCACGGGCTGTGAGTCAGGCAGCTCCTGGAACCCAGCAGGAGACTTGGGCTGTGACTTCACCTCTCTGAGCCTCAGCTCCCAACTCTGTGTACGTGAGAAAAATAAAACACGGGCCTACGGTGTCTTCTCTGAAATTCCAAACTAAATCCGATTTGCTGGTAAAATGTGAACTAAGGTTCTCCACGGTCTCTTACTTAACCCGTATCTCACTATGAGGTGTTGCCCAGACCCCGCTGGGGGTCTTACATAGCAAATGGTCTGTGCACACCAGCACCTTTCTAAAATTGGGAAAACTCCAAATTCTGAAATACATCTAATCCCCTGGGGCTCAGAGAAGGGACTGGCGACCCGTTGCCATCTGTCGGGGCTGGGGGAGCACTTGGACGAGACAGTGTCAGAGCAGCCAGCATGGAGCCTACTGCTGTGTGGGGGGTGCTCAGTACAGCCCCTCCACCCAGAAAAGGGAGGGAATGGGCAGGGGCCGGAGATGCCCCACCTGCTCCCCTTTCAGTGGGCCCCACCAGGCTGCCCTGACTCCTCGAAGCCACTGTGCACTTTACATCCCCTAAGTGTCCCTTAGGCGGCAGCCTGGGTCCCAGCCCCCTTGACAGCTCCCTAGCCCGGCCCCCTGGAGGCTCCCTGGGGTAAAGTGAGGAAGATGCCTTCTTACTGGCCCTGGTTCTCTCCTCACTCCAATTCGCAGATCTCTGCACAGGGAGAGGGCTGGGTGTGTGGGTTAGGAAGAGAAAGACACTTGAGGGACAGAAAAGACCCTTCCTGTCCCCTGCCTTGCAGACCCTCCCACGGTGACCCTGTCTATTGAGCCGCAGACGGTACAGGAGGGGGAGCGCGTCATCTTCACGTGCCAGGCCACAGCCAACCCTGAGATTCTGGGCTACAGGTGCAAGGCGTGGGGGCTGGGGACAGCCTGGGCCGGGAGTGGGGGCTGCCGGGGCCATCGTGCCCCCGGCCGTGGGTGAGAGTCGTCCAGGGCCTGATCCTCCCCCACGCCGCCTTTACCCCAGGTGGGCCAAGGGCGGCTTCTTGATTGAAGACGCCCACGAGAGTCGCTATGAGACGAACGTCGACTACTCCTTCTTCACGGAGCCTGTGTCCTGTGAGGTCCACAACAAAGTGGGGAGCACCAACGTCAGCACCTTAGTGAACGTCCACTGTGAGTGCTGCCCGGGCAGGGACCCCTGAAGGGTCAGGGCTAGGGCGGGGGCTCCGTGAAGCCAGGACAGGCGACAGGCCCGGGAAGTGGCAGGGCAGCGGAAGGAAGAGAAGGTCGGCCGGCGCGCAGCCCCGACGAGACCGAGGCCCTAGCCAGTGCTCTCTTCCACGCAGTTGCGCCCCGGATTGTAGTTGACCCCAAGCCCACGACCACAGACATTGGCTCTGACGTGACCCTCACCTGCGTCTGGGTGGGGAATCCCCCCCTCACCCTCACCTGGACCAAAAAGGACTCAAACATGGTAAGACGCTTGCGGCCCGTCTGGAGCGCCGGGAGGAAGGAGTCGGTCCCAGGTGGGAGAGCGGGGGTGGGGCGGGGCAGGTCAGAGCCACAGTGTGTCTAGGGTCTTGGGATTTGAAGGAGGAGGCCAGTGCTTGGGATCAAACCCTCTTCTTGCCGTGGAACAGCGGGCGGACCCAGTGGCCGTGGGAGGGACACGGGGACGTAGGTGTGCGTGGAGGGAGGGAGGGGTTTCTGCAGCTCTGCAGACCCCTGCGTTAGATCGTTTGGGCTGGAATTGCAGGAAGAGGGATGTCAGGGTGAGACTCCCTGTCTTGCTTGGCAGGGAAAGTTCTAGAACAGACCCTCCGCGAGGCTGCGTTCTCTGAAGTCACCGCAGCTCCGGCTGCCCTCGCCGGCCTCTGCCCTTCGCAGCCCACCCTAGTGGAGACCGCGGGCCCCAGTGAGACCCTTTTTAGAGTCAGGGGATGCGGCCTTTGCCCTTCCGGGAATTCACTTGTGGCCCTTCCTGCTTTCTTCCCAATGCCTCCGATGCGGGGCCCCGCTTGGACCCAGGGGCCCAGGCCTCCTGGCTCCCCACCCGAGGCTGCTCTCTCTGCCCAGGTCCTGAGTAACAGCAACCAGCTGCTGCTGAAGTCGGTGACCCAGGCCGACGCGGGCACGTACACTTGCCGGGCCATCGTGCCTCGGATCGGCGTGGCCGAGAGGGAAGTGCCCCTTTACGTGAACGGTGAGCGGCCTGCGGAGCTGGGCCTGGGCAGGCAGGTGCTGCCCCGTCCCGCCGGCCCTGACTGCGTCTTCTTGCTCACAGGACCCCCCATTATCTCCAGCGAAGCGGTGCAGTATGCTGTCAGGGGCGACGGGGGCAAGGTGGAGTGTTTCATCGGGAGCACACCACCCCCGGACCGCATCGTGAGTGCTGCCTGAGCCCCGGCCCGGGCCCCGGGGGCTACGTCCCTCTGCCCGCATCCCTGCTCACAGGACAGCCCCTCCTCTCTCACCTGTCACATGGCCCTGAGCCAATTACTTAGTGTTTCAAATCTCCGTTTTGTCATCCACAAAATGGGGTCAGTATCCCTGCCTGGTTGGGTGGCTGTGGGGCGGCCGTCGTGACAGGTGCGAGAGGCCGGGGCTGCTCTGTCTGCCTCATCTCCTTCCCTCTCCCAGCCTCCCTCCACCCCCTCCCTGGCCTCCACCCTGCCCCTGGGCTCCCTGGCCCTCTGCCCCCTTCTGTCTTCCTCCTCCGACCCGCTCCCCCTTCCCCCTCCTTTCTCCTCTTCCCCACACCATGCTCCATTAATTCCTCCCATGACCATTAACCGTCAAACCCCTCATCACATTTAATGACCATTTGGCTAACTCCAGGGCTGCCCAGGGACACTTCATTACCACGGCCGCCTGGGTAGCAGGCGGCTTGGCTCCCGGGGGGCTTCCCATGCAGAGCTAGGAGGATTGATCCCTGGAAAGGAGCCAATGCTCAGCCACTCCCCCTCCCTCGGGCTCCACTCAGGGAGGGGACATGAAGGGGGTGTCCCAACTGGGAAGTCAGGGATGGAGAAGGATGGGGATACCCCTTTTCTGTGAGAGATCTTCCCTGTTTTAAGAGTCTGGAGATGGGTCTCCAGAACCCCCCAGGTGGGTTCAGGTGGGTCTGCCTGCGGGTTGGCTAAAGGTGAAGCTAAAGTCTGAGTCATGAGCGGGACAAACTTTGGGCATCCAACTCCAGCCTGGTCCTCTGCTTTCACAGATGAGGACCTGGAGGCCCAGAGAGGGGGAGGGAGGCCACACAGGGGCTCGAGGGACAGCCAGGCTCAGGGCCCAGTATTGACTCCCCATCCAGGACATCAGGGGCTACCAAACACTGGTTCACCAGCCCAGCCACATCTACATTGGTGGAATTCTTATAAAAATAGAGAATCTTGGAGCTCTCCCCTGGAGATGCACATTTAAGACTTAAGCTCCAAGAATCTGCGTTTTAAAGAATGTCCCTCGGCATATTGGCCCGTTCCTGGCACATATCTCCATCACACTGGGAGCCACTGTTTCCCTTAGACTGGAGATCCCATGCCAAGGTTTGAGGCAAGAGGGTGACTTGGGTTTGTTGCAGGGTGAGTGCTGGGCTGGGCTGAGGGATGCACAGGACACATGGGACAAGAAAGCCTGGAGTGTCGGCCACCAGCCCCTTCCTTACACCCCCGTGCCTCCCCCCTCCCCCACTCTCTCCACCCAGGCCTGGGCCTGGAAGGAGAACTTCTTGGAGGCGGGCACCCTGGAGCGCTACACGGTGGAGAGGACCAACTCGGGCAGCGGCGTGCTGTCCACGCTCACCATCAACAACGTCATGGAAGCAGACTTTCAGACACACTACAACTGCACGGCCTGGAACAGCTTTGGGCCCGGCACGGCCATCATCCAGCTGGAGGAGCGAGGTGACTGTGGCTGGGGTGCGGGGCCGCTGGGGGTTCTGCTCCCTCCTCTCTCCCTGGCAGTCCTCATGGGGAGATGACTCTCTCAGGGGCCTGCCCTCCAGAGCCTGCGCTTGTGCTCAGCTGGGGAAACCCACCCCCTTTTCCCAAAGTGCACTAGCTGCCCCTCTGCGCCTTTGCCACACTGTGCACAGCTGTGCACAAGATGCCGTCCCAGCCCTTGAGGGGCTGTTGGGTCAGAACAGAGTGGGGAAGCGAAGGACTTCAGGTGGGGAAAAATCGGATGCTTCGTGGACGGGTGACCTCCCTGGGTTAGCATGAGGGTGCAGAGAGAGGAGGCACGTGGCGGGCGCCCTGCAGCTAGTGGTTCCCGCCTCTTTGAGAACCCTTCGTCTGCTAGGAGGCACGCGCTTCCTCCCTGAAGACAGTGCATGTAGAAGGAGGCATTGCCTTTGACTTTGTTGGACGCTCTGGGAGGGAGAAAAAAGTGGGGGCTTCCGTCCTGTGTGTCTTAGCTGAGAGCGCCAGCAAGGGGGTGGTGGGGAAGAACGAAGTGGAGGGAGTATGGTAGGACCCAGCGAGGAGCGTAAGGACGTCCCACGGATCTGATCCATCCAGGACTGCCAGGAAGGGAGAGTTCACTGGAGGAGGTTCCCTGGGTCCTGCTTAGCTCTGGGGAGCAGGGGAGCCAAGGAGAACTGTTTGTGCCCTGGGAGGGCAGGTGCCGGTACTGCCCTGGCCAGGTTGAGGAGGTGGGGAGGTGGAGATGGGGGGCACACGGGTGGCAGGTCTGAGTTTGTGGAGACGGCTGAGCTCAGAGCATCCCAGCCCAGGAAGCCAAGGCCCAGCCTCGCAGGCAGGTGGGCTGCAGAGGGGTGGACGGACACCCAGGGCCAGGGTCATGCTGTGTCACGGCTGCAGGGAGGGGACATGGCCATGCTCCCAACTTGGATTAAGCTGAAGCTCAGGCCTAACCCCAGACCCAATGCAGACCTTCCTCTCCAACTCCGCCTGACTTGAGGCAAATGCCGTTCCCATCCATGGATGCCGGCGGGGCTCTGATGCCTGGTCTTCAGGTCCCCGTGAGCCACCGGCCTCACCCCAGCCTTCCCTTCTCTCTGAAGAGGTGCTGCCCGTGGGCATCATCGCCGGGGCCACCATCGGCGCGGGCGTTCTGCTCACCTTCTTCTTCATCGCTTTGGTGTTCTTCCTCTACCGACGCCGCAAAGGCAGTGAGTCCGGGCCTCCTACCCGCATGCAGCTCCCACCCTCCCCTGCCCGAGCAGACAAGCCCCGTGGCACCCCCAGCCCCCAGGGTCGGCCTGCAGAGGGTAGCATCCACGCTGCCCTTTCCTGTGCAGGTCGCAAGGACGTGACCCTTAGGAAGCTGGACATCAAGGTGGAGACTGTGAACCGTGAGCCACTTACCATGCATTCAGACCGGGAGGATGACACCGCTAGCGTGTCCACTGCAACTCGGGTCATGAAGGCCATCTACTCGGTGAGGGTCCCCCTCCTCCTAGCCTGCTCCCAGCTCTACTAACCACCTTCTGTCTTCCCTCTGATGATGGGCTCTGATCCTGCCACACCCACACCCACACACACGCTCCCACGTGCTCACATGTGCACACACAGGCGCACATGTGCTCGTGCACATATGCACACGCGTGCACGCACACGTCCTCCCCAGGCTAATTTCCGTGCCACAAAGGACAGGCAAGTGGGACCTTCCGTAGGCGGGGGCTTGGCTCTGTCCTTTCCACACAGTCAGACTTGGAAACCCCTAGAAGTTTTCTGATCCAACTGCCGCATAGCTCAGAGGAGGAGGAGACAGTCCCAGGGAGGGGCTGTGACACACCCAAGGTCACATTGTGTGTCAGCCATAAAACCGCTGCCAGGTCGGATCTCCGACCTCTTCCCGTGCCCTGCGCCCCAGAGCCTCTCCCGGGCTGGGCTCACACTCAGAGCCTGAGTGTGCCCGGGGCCCCAGACCCCGTGGGCGGCCCTGGGCTTGGGGCGGGGCCGGCGTGGGATGAGAACGGCCCGGCCCTGACGCCCACCCTGCGGCTCCGCAGTCCTTCAAGGACGACGTGGACCTGAAGCAGGACCTGCGCTGCGAGGCCATGGACACGCGGGAGGAGTACGAGATGAAGGTGCGCGCGGGGTGGGCGCGGGCGGGCTGGGGAGGAGCGGCGCGGGCTCCCCGCGGGCCCCGGCAGGTGCACGCGGCCGGTGCACCCGGCCGCGCCCCCACCGCGCCCCTCGCCCCTCGTCCCCAGGACCCCACCAACGGCTACTACAACGTGCGCGCCCACGAGGACCGGCCGGCGTCGCGGGCCGTGCTCTACGCCGACTACCGCGCCCCCGGGCCCGCGCGCTTCGACGGGCGCCCGGCCTCCCGCCTCTCGCACTCGAGCGGCTACGCGCAGCTCAGCTCCTACAGCCGCGCCCCCGCGTCCGACTTCGGCCCGGAGCCCGCCGCCCCCGGGCCCGCCGCCCCGGCCGGCGCCGACTCGGCCAGCACGCTGTCCTACGAGAACTACGACAAGTTCAACCCGCACCCCTTCCCCGCGGCGGCGGGCTACCCCACCTACCGGCTGGGCTACCCGCAGGCGCCACCGTCGGGCCTGGAGCGGACCCCGTTCGAGGCGTACGACCCGATCGGCAAGTACGCCACGGCCACCCGCTTCTCCTACACCTCGCAGCACTCGGACTACGGGCAGCGGTTCCAGCAGCGCATGCAGACTCACGTGTAGGCCCGGGGCCGGCCGGGCGCCTCTGCGGGGCAGAGGACGAGGCTGTCACAGCCGTTCCCTGATATTCAGGGGCGTTGCGCGTCGCTCCCGGCCCGGCCCAGCCTTCGTCCTCCGCCGCCGGCGCGGCAGGTGGGGAGCAGGTCTCCCGGAAACACCCCTTCCCGAGGATGGTGCTCTGTGCATGCCCCAGCCTCCTGGGCCTGCCCTTCCCTCTTCTTCGGGAGGACGTGTCTCTTCCGACCTGGGCTCTCTCCTGGCCCCAGCACGCGGACAGGGAAGCGGAGGTTGTGGAGAGCGGAGGGGACACTTTTTAGCATTCCCATTCTGCCCCACCCCTCTGGTCTCCCCTAAGTGGACAGGGGTGTGTGACAATGAGCAGGCTTTGGCCTAGGGGGGCACGCAGTGGGGGCGATGGGAGGGGTCTCAGGCGCAGATATGCGGAGACGCCTTTCCCCGGGGCCCCCTCTCCGTCCTTTGCATTCCTACCCCGGCGGCATCTCTCCTCCCGCGGCTGCGGAAGGGACCTCGGGTTGATTTTAGCTGTCCACCGAACAGCCCTGGCACTGAGTTCAGATCCAGCCCTCATTCAGCTGGGATCAGAGGGCCAGCTGTCCTGGCTGCTCATTGTGGACACCTGTGGGCAGAGGACCCAGATTCTCTGTCCTCTGTGCAGAGCCCGCAGGTTAGATCAGGGTCCCCGTGGAAAAAAGAAGGTGGGGGAACCCTGCCCTGACACACCAGCAGGAAGCCCGTGCGCTACAAAGCAGTTTCCAGAACCCGGTCTAGAGGAGCCCCTTCCTTCCCCAGCCTGTCCCGCATCCTGGCTTTAACTCTTGAGCCTGACTGGGGAGTGGTGGTGAGAGGGTGGGATGCCTCAGGCTATTTTTCAAAGACAGCAAAAAACAATGAAAACCTCACTTGGGGAGGGAAAAAAGGCTGTAGGGAATCCCCCGCCCAAAGTCCCAAAGGAAAGGGAAGGGGACACCTGTTCACCAGATTCCTAGCACCGTCCATTACTCTGAATTTCCAAGCACTTTGAATCCATTTTTAAACATTCAGGTGGTAAGACCTGTCCCCCACCGGCTCTGACAGGCTTAGGGAGGGTGCCTCGCTCTCAGACTGCTTGTCCTGCCCCCCAGCTGGTCGGGGAGGCCCCCTTCCGGGGGCATGGGAGATAGTCTCTGCAGACAGGTTTTGGTTTGTTAAGTGTCTTTTTTTTCTTGGACCAATCAGATTCCTTCCACTTTCAGTGCCTTGAGTGTCCAGCTTTGGTTGACCGGCTCTGTGTGGGGGGCCCCGGGGGACTGGTATCGTGAGCCCCAGACACGCCGCTAGGTGTTGCAGAGTTTTGGGAACGGCGGGTGAGGGGCCTGGAGAGGAAGGAAGGTGGCACGGGAGGACACTGCAGGCACTCATGCCCATGCTGTCCCCACACACACATTCCACATGGCCATTCTCAGCCGTCACCTCTGACCAAAGAGAACTGTGCCCCCGCCCCGGCCCCCCTTCTCCCGGCAGGCGGGGTCTCTAGGGTGATCCCCGGAACAAGCTTTGCCCTCTCTCCTGGTCACCACTCATTAGTCGTGTTTGCTTTAATGAGTTACATGCTCATCAGCCACGGGCCATCACCACCCCTGCGGATGGCTCTGTGGGGTGACATTCCTCCCCATCTTCGCTGGTAAGGTCCAGCTAGTGCCCAGGAAGCCGGCAGCTCCGTTGCAGCCAGGCAGGCTGCCTCTACATCCCCTTCTGCGGCATCAGGGGCAAATCCTGGGTGTCTCTTGGGGGTGGGGGGACATCATCCAGGTTCCAGCTGCATTCTACCCCTACCCCTGGGAGCTGACCCCTCCGTACCGAGTCCTTTATGTGAGCCCCGGGAGAAGGTCTGATAAGGATGCAGGTTCCCATGCAGATGAATTCATGCATATTTTGATTCTCTTCGCAGAAACAGAAGCCATGGGTAATTGAACAGTTAAAGTCTAAAGATGGCGATGGCTTTTTAAACAAGAGTATTCCAAAAATTATTCATTTGTATTTGGGGTTTGGCCACATTCTGTTTCCTTTTGTTTTGTTTTAGTGCAGGGCCCATTCTGTTGAGATGATGAAGAGGAGGGCCCGAGGTCACTAGCCAGCTCAGCTGACACTACGGGGACCGTTAGTTTTCAGAAGCCTGTGAACAGAGCTACTTTTCTGCTCTTGGACGCCGTAACCAGCCGCTCCTGGGTACGGAGCGTGCACAGGGCAAGGCACAGAGAGACACCAGCGCCCCAGGCCCTCCTTGCCCTCTGCAGTTTGCACACGGCTCATCTGATCACACCCAGAACTGGGGCCTGCCTGTTGGGCCAGATGGAATTGCTTTTCCGGGGAGGGGAAGGCGCCGTTGAACGTAGGAGAGCTTTGCTGTTGGAGGCTGGGCCCCTCCAGCATGGTGCCAGAGTGTGTAGTGTGGTTGTCTTGGTGACCCCGAGCACCTTTGATACATTCATCTTAGTGGGCAGAGCGAGGCATGAGGGGGTCAGGAGATCAGGGGCCCCATCCCGAAGCTGCCATTGGCTGAGTGACCTTGGCCTAACCTCTTCATGTTTGCCACCCCCGATTTTCTGGCCTTAAAACAGGGGAGGGTTGCACAGCCCTAGAATTATTCTGCTCTTGCTGTATTCATTCGGTGAGGCGGGGGCCCAGCCACCCCTGGGGAGGAGCTGGGAGCGGAACGTGAGCAGGGAAGGGGTGGAGTGGTGGAAGGTTCTCCTCTCTTGAGAAGAGCTTTCGCTGTGGGCCTCTTGTCGCAAGTGTTGCAAGTGGGTTTCCTGTAGGGTCTGCTGCATGTGGAACGGCGACAGAGCACACCCTCGGCCTCCGTGAGATTGGTGTGGGCTTGTCCTCTGACCATTGGGAGTAGTCGCTCTCGATTGGAGCCCTCTCAGAATTCTGCGGGTTTGGCAAAGGCGTCTGTGGCCCGAGAGGGGCGTGGGGAGTCCTCCAGGGTGCCCTGGTTCCGGGCAGCTTCGAGCGGGGGTGGCGGGGTGGGGAGTCGGGGCAGCCACCTTCCGCCCTGTCCTCTCGCTGAGGAGGCAAACCTGCCGGCCAGGGTGTCTTGAGCCAGGTAGTGAGGCGTGAGCAAGGCTGACCCTTCTGTGAGGCAGCTGGTTGAGGGAAGAGGGGAGAGCAGTTTGACATTGACTCTGGTGATTGTGTGTGAGCTCGTGGAGGCTCAGACTGTGTCCTGATTCCTGGATCCCTCGAAGCCCAGCCCCAGAGTCCTTGTGGGGTCAGGAAGGGGGGCCACCAGGGATGGCGGTGCTCCCCAGAACACCATGCCCTCTGGGGTGGACAGGGTCAGTGTGACCCCCCACCTGCAAGCCCATCACTCTGAGGGAGGGCCCTGCCCCGGAGCCCCTTTTCCTCCCACGCTCTGTGGGGCACCACAGGCCCTGGGCTCCTTAGAATGGAACCGAATGGTCCCTCAGCCCACCTGACCCGTGCGGACAGCAGTGTTGGGCCATTCAGGTCGGAGGAAAAGCACATCAAAGTCAAGACCCCACTTGGACTGAAACGGCCCATTCGCGGCCTCACTTGGCTGTGTGGGCCCTTCTGTCCCTATGGCTGCTCTCCTGGGCCGCCACGACCTCGGAACCCCAGGCTTCCCTACCCCTCCAGCGCTGGGCGTCCCTGGTGGGTCACTGCCCTGTGCCTCGTGTTAGGGAGTCACCCGGAAGGCGTTCGTGAAGCCCCTGACCCTGGAGGGACCAGTGACGAGCTGGTTGCCAGACCCTCCACAGACGGAGGGATGTGATTTGGAAAGGCATCTGTTTTTGTGAAGAGGCTATGAAACTAGCATTTAAATACCCCCCGCCTTTGTCCCTGCCTTCCCTGCCCCCCAGTATCTGCCTCTCCTGGAGGCCAGCCTCCATCCGCCTGGCCTCCTCCTGCCTCCAGGATGGGGGCGCTGGGGGAGGTTCCCGTTTCCTTGCGTCACTGTGAGGGAGCTCCAGGCCCCGTCCCTGGAGAAGGCTGCGCAGAAGTCACAGGCCGTATGGGCGGCTCTGATACGAGCCTGCCCTTACAAATAATAACAATAATAATAATAATAATAATAATCGTAGAACCGTCCCGCTCCCGCCGGCCTCCTGTCCCGCCCTTGGCTGTTCTCGGGCCACCACCACGGGCCTTTTCGAGGGTCGGCAGGCCGCGGGGCCTTCTACCTGTTTCTGGAGACCAGATGCTGCCCCGGGAACACCCCCAGCTCCCGGCCTGGTGGTCACCCTCTCCACCCCGACCACCCTTGGGGTCACAGCCTCCACTCTGGGCTGCGGTTGAGTTTTCTGCTCCCAAACCCCAATAATAAATGGATCCATGATGACAATTAAGAGAAAAAAATATTATTTTTGTTAGAACAGACCATCGTAGGTTTTTAGCAATGTGTGTCTGTGTGTCCTCACGCCTTTTCCTATTCTGCCTGTTTTCATTTTCCTTTTTTTTAAATATTATGTACTATATTTTTAGTCTCAAACACACTATATATTATATATATTTAATTTTTTTATATATATAAATATAAATGTTTTAAAAAGTACCATGTTTTGTGTTATTGAAGGCATGAGTAGTTCTCCTTGCTTAAAAGATTGCCTGATTGGGGTGAAATGGTGAAATGGTCACATTTGGGGAAGAAAATTGGACTTTTGGGTGGAGATTACAGAGAGTATCTATGTGGTCCTTCGGGCGGTTACTTATATCTGTGGCTGTCCCGGTCCCTGAGCCCAGGGAAACTGGTACCTGGGAGAAGACAGACAAACAGAGGGAGGTCCCGCCACAGGAACATGCTCCCGGAACTCTGGGGCCAAACCGATGAAGGGGCAGGTCAGGGGGCGACTGAACCCGGGTCCAGATCCCGAAGGAACTGGGAGAGGGTGGGAGCCAGATGGGTTCCATTTATTAAGAGGTAGAGGTTTGGCTCAACAGCAGATTTCCCAAGCCCGTGGCCTTCTGATGGGAGGAGATGGGAGCCTGTGCCGTGGAGGCCTGCACAGGCCATCCCGCTGAGAAACTGGGAGTCCTGGAGTGTAGTGGCCTCCTCAAGGATTTCTCTTTGGTCATGTCCCAGGAGCGTTTGAGGATCACCGGTGGTGGGGAGTGGGGGGAATGGCTGTTTTCAGATCCTGTTTTTTGAAAGCTATAAATCATCAGAGAGATACAAGGTTTTCTTGTTTGCATCACCTATGTGACCACGGAGCAAACAGAAGCTGGTCCACGGGAGCCATTCTGTGTGCAAGGGACACAGGACACAGCCAGAGACAGAGGTAGGGATGGGGGAGCTGAAAATACTTGAGAGGTAATGATGCTACCTGTTTCCGAGAAGGTGGGAGGTCCCAGTCAGAGGCCCCACCGCCAGAGAGGCTGGTGCCCTGGGAGCCGTGGGAAGACAC